CACACACACACACACACACACACACACACACACACAAACAAAATTCAAGGCCCCTCTGAATCTGAATCAAAGCAGAGCAGTGACTTGTGCCAGACTCTGTTTATTTGAGTAACACAAAATAACTTCCTCAAATCAGAAGATGTAGCTCACATTCAAAGAGAAACATGTTCGTTTTGAGAAATTCTCCAGTAATAATATATTGTGTTTAATGTATCTCAGCATCTAAAACTCTACAAAAAACATTGTCTGTTAAAAACAACAACTATGAGGACACTTGCTGGGTTTTTATGAGGCAAGACTATGAGCTGAATCCAGGTGAAATGTTTTTATCCTTTATTGATCTCTCCTTGTTAAATCTGTACGGGTTGCAGATGAGTTTGGATCAATCTGGGTGTGGACTGAGCGAAAGCAAAAATCTCTGCTGCAGCTCAATATCAGAAAGGAGTCCCTACTGTTCTGCACGACTATGGAAGTTGCAGTGAAGTTGTCTTTTAATTTTACAAGTCAATATAGTCTAACTGGTGTGAGGCTAATGGGTCAAAGGTCAACTTCATTTTGACAAATTTACATAAGTATTTAACTTTTACTTAAACTGCTGTGAAGGCATTCTGTTGTGTTGTACGTTGCTTTGTTAACACACATTGAAACATATGGACGTTGGGCTTTGGTGTGCTTGCGAACAGCTCCTTAATGAAACAGGTGCATCTGTGAGAGAAAATTAAATAAGAGTCATTGGGGAAAACAATTACTTGCAGACAAAGGAGGATACACTGCAGAAATGTTGTTCTGGTTTAACAACAGTGTGTTCTTTTTTCAATCAAACCTAAATCGGCTCCAGAACCCTGGTTGTGCGGCTTCAGAAATATTTTCTTTAGTGAATTAACCAAGAAATCCAAACAGGAAGTCGTTGTGTGGAAACAAAATGTCCATTTAAAACTAAGCCAGCGTGACATTGGCAAGGAAAACATGTAGTTTGTGAGGAATGGAGACAATCTGCCAGGAGAGCCTTACTGCAACATGTAATGCTAATCCTTACACATGCAACCAATGCACTGAAACACAAAGCAAGAACACAGAGAAGTGTGATATAATTAATGGCCTCATACATGGGAGCATCTGGAAACCTGAGATTGCATGATTGCTTATCTACGTGGCAATTTGCTTTTTTATGTATACACACACCTTCATCGTGTGTGTAACAGAGCTCAGCTGAGAACAAAGACCTGCTGATGCCAGCAACAGGAAGCACAAAGCTGCACAACCTGCCAGAGACTCAGAGCCGGTTGGAGAGTGTGTTAAATTGGACTATAAAGTGCTAATGGTGCCCATGTTGGAATCAAAAGTGTGTTTCCAAATGATCCCCCTTAGATAATTAAAATAGCCGTCAAGCATAGAGCAAAAGAGAAGTGGAAACAAAAACACTTTCTAATATTTTAATAAATCTGATTGGTTGAAATACAACTTTCATAGATGGGATTATTAGAGAGCAAGATGTTCTTTGAGCTAAGTGTTTCATCTAGAAATGCTTTTTCCTAGCTATCCAAATGTTGAATAAAAGGTAATTTAATTCTTACAATGTTGTTGGACCAACTGGGACTTTTTGTTTGTAGCTCAAAAATACAGTCCCTAATGTTTGAAGCTATGTGGCTTTATAAAATGAGTCCACCCAAAAGCACAATCAGTCTTTAAACACGGGGTCCATTTTCTTTTAGGAAGTACAGATGGCATTTTACTGCTCTTTGTAGGCCTCACGCAGATAATCACCAAACTTGTCGATGCTGTTAAAAAGCCCTGAACACATTCTGCCTTTTTCAGAGCATCATATTTCCTTCATTGGCGTTTTCTAAAGATTGTCCTTGTGATACGCAACCTTTGAGGATTTTTCCTTTAAACTGTACGATTCCAGGACATCAGCTCAGAGGCCGGCCCTCGCATTGGCAACTAAATTATGTAACACACTCATCAGACGGATGTCATTTCTGGTTCTCATGCAGAATATTAGTTATTCATTAATGAGGTTGTTTTAGTGAGTAAACACCCACACACATTGCACATTTACACTTAGACCCGTTATACACACACACACACACACACACACACACACACACACACACACACACACACACACACACACACACACACACCACAGTGGGTGTAATTCCGGCTCATTCAGCCCTGAACAAAGTGGCTCATATTTGGAAACGTCTAAACATATCTTCAATTCGCTGCACAGACAGAAACATTAAAACCGTTTTCAGCAATAACACAGTTTTCAGTGTTGGTTTGAAAGTCGTTCTTTGAAGTTTGTGACAGCTTTCACGTTCATTTCAGCTGCTCCTGTGGTCTCTAAACATTTCATTACATCGCCTTTGCTTATCTTCAGTGGGCGATTTGTTCAGTTTTAACAGGGATGATAGTTGGCAGGTAGAGTGTCGTCTTTTCTCTGCTGTTTGTTTCCACTAAGAAAAATGAATGTGCAAACAAGCTCAGTGCCATCCTCCTCTCCCTCCCAGGATTAAGAAGAAATACTTATTTGTAGTGAATGACAAAGTCCTGTTGTCAGCATTAAGTAAAAGCAACATTTTATTTGTATTCTGTTCTAATACTTTATTAATAATCTTGCTGTTTGTGGCACAAGCCAATGTTCGTGTGAAGACATTTCCACCCTTCATCCACCCTGACATAATGCACCGTTTGAGTCATAGCCCAGTTGCTATGCACATTGTTCATTTAGCTTCACACATGTATTCTCCTCACACATCCACACGTTATGCAGTCTGATATTTAGAGCTAAAAACCCTTAAATTTATATTTCTGAAATTAGATTTGATGTCCTATATAATGTTTTTCATTTTGCAGGTAGCAGGGATGGGGTTTTTGTCACGTGAAATGGACTTTAGACTCAACAAAATCAAAAAGGACTTCTTACTCAAGTTGGGGCTCCACCTGGAATTGTGCTTTTGACCTCAAATGTATTGATCCCTTTCACTAGACCTGACGATTAAAACGTATTTTGTTCCAAAAGGGCAAAGAGTAAAATCAATTGCCTTCATTTCCTGAATCAATTAACATAAGAGCTGCCATTTCCCAGCAAGTGGACACTTAATGCCCTCAAACCATTTTGTTTAAGCAGACAGCGTCCAATCAAGTTGAACAACTAACATTACGTTACAGGACTAAAAAATGACACTAAATATACTTTAGTTGGGTACAAAAACTATGGTCATCAAATACATAATCGCAGTGTGTTTAATGTGCAAGGTCTATATTGGTAAAGAGTCCTTTATGACATGTTCAAGACTCAAAACTTAAAGTTTAGCCCGTTGCAACCTATTAGCTTTAAGTGTCTTAAGATGTTTCTGTGCACAAAGACTGGGTCTGCTCCTCTGGTAGGCAGTATACATAAATGGCCACTTTCACCTTGAAACAGCTCCTCACTTTATAAAGAGTTCTTTACAGAATCCAGCAACATGAGGATGGCTTTGACCTCGAATATATAGATCCTTTTAGAATCTAAAGCATAGAGAATCTCACATCTTTAGACCCAACATTGACTCCAGAGGTGAAGGAAACATGTTGACAGTGAGAGAGCTTTAGAAAGATCCTCCTGATCCATTTTCAATGCTAGTTTAAAAGCATTGAGCATTGAGCATGAGCATCGCGAGTCATTGTCTCTAACTGTTCACTTCACTGGGGTCCGATGGACTAATGAAGCCAAGTTTACTCCACATTTGAGCTTAGCTCTCCCCTTCCTTTCTACAAGTCTTTTTCAGTGTAGAAGGTATCATTGAGCCAAAGGAAAGAGAGAGCCTCACAAGATTTGCTTTTGATTGCAGACGAGTTAAATACATTGGTATGCATGAGACGAAAAAGCCCTCAGAGAAGGTGTCTCTTTTTCCATACACTCATTTTCTCTCAGTCCTTGTCCCCGTTATGGCTGAAATTGCCTTAAGTGTAATTGTGTGTGTGAATAAGCCTTTCACAGCATTATTTTTATTCAAGCTGTTCCCAGGCTAACCTACAGGCGCTTCCTTTTCTTCTGAAATGACGCTTAGGGGCCTGCTCCATCTAATGTGGCTTCTAGTTAAAAGGAAATGCATACTGAATGTCAGGATATATCACCACTTTTAATGGTCCAGACCTCTTTAAAACCTTTTTCCATAGGCTTCATTCCAAACGGGCCGTGCTAATTTCACAGATTGTAAAGGCAGCATTTTGTCTGCAA